GTATTCAGGCAGTCCATATCTCTTGTTTCATTTAATTCTGAACCTGTAGTAGGATATATCATTTCTATTTTCAGTTGGAGATGTTTAAGCTCCGAGAGGTGAGGCCACTTGCCCAAGGGCACACAGCAAGACTCTGGTGGAATTGGGAATCAAATCTGCATCTGTCTGGCTCTTAAAGCTACGTCCTTCTCACAGGCCCACATGACCTTGCAGCGTGCTTGGCTGCCTGGTGGGGAGAGGAAAACAGGACTGGACAGGTCATCAGGGGCCAGCGCATGCTGGGCTCTGAGGTTTACACTGGTAGCAGTGGGGAGCTGCTGAGGTTCCTCAGCAGGGGAGGCGGAGTGTGTATGGTTTGAGCTGGGCTCCCAGGGGATCACTTTGGAGGCTACAGAAGAGAATCAGTCTCTCGGGTGGGGAGTGGGGAGTGGATATGCAAAGGAACAATTAGAAGGTGGTGTGAAAACAGGATAACAGTAGCAGGTGTGAGGGGCTTTCGGGGGGGGGGCGCGAGCAGGTGGGCGGAAATGACTCAAGGTCCCATGGGAATTAAGAAAGGCGTCTCTGAGGAGGTCCAAGTTGGACTGCATTTTGTTAGAGCCAGCGCCGTTCAGTAGGAAGAGCGCGGCCTCCGGAGGAGTCAGGCAGGCCTGGGTTCGAATGTCACTCAGCCTCTCTCGGGCAGGCGACCTCGGAGCCACTGTCCTCATTAGTAACACGGGAGAACCCATCCTCATGAGGATGAGATGAGGCGAGGTAGGGTGCGCGGTGACTGGCAAGTAGGGGTTGTGTAGTAAATGTTACCTTATTCAAAACAAAACAGAGCAGTTAGGAGGTCAGCAGGGCTTGAGCAGGGAAGCGGGTTCCAGGCACTAGGTCCGACCCGCCCAGGGCGGGTTCCCGGGTAAAAAAGCCAATAGATTGCAGGACTGTGAGCATCCGAGCCCTGGGTCCTCCAAGCTCGTGCTGCTCCCTGGACAAGACACTTGGAAGTTCTGGGGGTGCTCACACCCCCTCCAACAGGACCCCCTCTTGTCCTGTTGGCTCAGCTGCCTCTTAGACTCCCCCAGTGGGGGCCCCGAGCCAGCTGGGGCCTGCACATGCTATATGCTGAATAAACATGGTTTCAGTGGGTAACTCCTCTGGTCTTACCTGTGTTCCTCCCCTTCAGGCAGAACTGCCTTTCATCTGTGGGGGACATGAATTGCTGGCTTCCCTTCTGAGGGAAGGGGGGTGGGAGTGGAAGGGGGGCCAGTCAGTGTAGGCACCGTGGCCTTGGCCTTGTCCCCACCCCCCGTCTCTGGTCCAGCCCAGGAGGCCTGGAGAGGGACTCAAGAGCTGGGCCTGTGACACGTTCTGATTTTCAAATCGGGTGGATTCTAGAAACCACCGACATCACCTCTGGTTCCATCTTGGGGCTTGACGGTCAGCAAAGGGTTGGTGCACAGTTTGTAGAGGCCATGGAGACCACAGGAAGTGGTGGGCGTCCGCGGCGAGCGGGTCAGACGGCTCTCTCATCACGTCCAGGTTTGTTGGCCCTCCTGGATGCCAGGCTGACGGCTGGGGATTGCCACAGACACAGAGTGAGGGTCTAGATGCCAAGGCAGGAGCTAGTTGTTGGGATTCTCAGCTGGATTTGTGATAGGTTGGGCAGCGTCTGCAGAATGTTTACTAGGACCTGGGTGTCAGGATGGGGCCTGGTCTAGGTGGAGGACTGCTGGGCGGAGCTGATCCTCAAGATTTACAAGGGACCATATCCGGTGACCCCCGTGGGGTCGCGGGGTGGGGGAGCTAGGAGCTGCATGTTCGTTGGCGTTTATCGGTATGCCTCTGGGCCGGATCCAGGGCCAGTGTTCACTGTGCTCAGGGAGATGGCTTCCAGGGCCTGCTTCCAAAGGGCCCACGGGCCCAGGGAGGTTCAGACGGTCGGAGGGTGGAATCCTCTGTGGCGACAGGGCACACAGAGGAGGGGACAGCTGACTCTGCCTGGGGGGGTGGGGGATGAGGAAGACTTCATAAATGAGAAGCCACGTGAGCTGGATTTTGAAAATCAGGTAGAAGTTCTCGAGGTGAAAAAGGTGGGAAACAAGCAGGTAGAGATTTGAGAAGAAATGGTGGTCCCATATTGGATGAGCTGACTTTGAGGGCCCCTCATCAGGAGACCTGTTCAGAAGGCAAGAGGCTACACAGGAGCGAAGCCCAGCGTGGGGTTGCTGTGGGTAATGCTTCGGGAGCAGCCATTCAGAGGGGCTAAATTAGGGGGGGGGGGGGGGGGGGGGGGGGGGGGGGTGCAGCGGAAACCCGACAAAGCGTGGCTGCCCGATGTGGGAAGCAGCAGGAAGATGGAGCAGTCAAGGAGACTGAGGTGGAGGAGCCAGACAGGTAGGAGGAAAGCAGGAGAGTCGGGGAGGGGAGTGTTTCAAGGCAGGAAGAGTCAACAGGACCCCGTGCTGCCGAGGGGTCAAGTGGGACGAAGCTGCAAGCGGCCATAGGATTTAGCAATAAGGAGGGCGCTGATGACTTTGTCAAGAACAGTTTCAGCAGAAAGATGTGGTCAGGAGCCAGACTGCAGTGGATTACCAGGCGAGGTGACATTTGAGCCAGGATGTGAGCGGCAGGTGAGAAACTAGAGTGCCAGCTGTGGAACACTTATTGATGGGGAAGAGGAGCCGGGGGTGGGGGGACAGTAGCTGGAGGAGGAAGGAGGGCTCCCCCCAGAATGGAGGTCCATTCTTGGGTGGCCATGAGAAGACCATGCTGACCAAATGCTGAGCCAGAGGGTAGTGGGTGGAGCCCTCCTGGGAGGTGGGAGGGGGAGAAGCAGGGCCAGGGTGGGCAGGTGGGCGGGTGGGGAGGGGCTGGCCTTTGTAAGAGGGACTGCAGGGAATTTGGGAGTTGGATGTCTGGGACAAGAAGTCAGGGGTGAGGGTTGGGGGGGCTCCTATGTCACAGCGTTTGCTTTCTCTGTAAAGGAGCTCCTTGCAGAGCAAGGGAGCAGAGATGAGCTCAAGGAGAGAGGTCAAGGTCTGGCACAGCGAAGGTGGGGAATGGGGAAGGCGGGGAGCCGGGGAGTGCTGCTGAGAAGCCCCAGGCGCCCAGCGGATATGCAGCCCTGAATCTGTCCTGGTGCCAGTTGGCACAGCTGTGGATTTCTTCAGCAGCCTGGGGGTGGGCGTGGAGAAGGCGGCTTGTCACAAGGCTCCGGGGCTGGGGACTGGCTGAGCGGGTGTGGTGGAAGGGCTGGGTGAAGGGATTCCGGAATGGCCAAGCATGGCATGGGCACCTTCTCTGTGGTCCTGCTGGAGGCAGGGCCCAAAGTGAGGCCGGGAGGGGTTGCAGATGCCGTTTAAAGGGAGGAGGCCCCGGGGAGGGGGGGCTGAAGGTTGGCAAGTGAGGGTGCACAAGAGGTGCAGGTTGTGAGGGGAGGAGGAGATGGTAAAAATAAGCCAGATGGGTCCTGCCTTCTGGAGCATTCACCACATGCCAAGCAGGGTGCCAAGGGCTTCATGGCCCCCCTCTCAGGGAGTCCTCAAGTCAGCCCTCAAGGGAGGGGGTATTCCAAGTACTGTTCTACAGAGGGGAAAACAGAGAGGCAGACACTTGCCCAAGGTCACACAGCTGGTCAGTGTCCGTGCCCCAGTTGGGACATGGGGCATGACTCCAGAGTTGTCCTGAGCTGGTGAAGTTTTGGGGAGGATGTGGATTGAGTTCTGTGACTAGTGGCTGAAATGGAGGGAGGGGTCCTGGAGTTGATGAGACCGGAAGCTGGGCTGAGTGGCACTTCAGGGCCCCCTGCCCAGCAGGTTTGCTCAAGGTGGTCCTCTTGGCGCCTGGTTGGACAAAGCTTTCTCTCGGACTCAGAGCCTGGACTGGGCCGCAGGAAGAGCATAGCCCTCTTGGGTTCCTTCAAACACCGTGCCTGCCTGGTGCTGACTTGGCTTTCCAATATAGAAGAGGTCCTGGGGCTGGGGGCCAGCACTACCTTCTAGTCCGGGGACAGCATGGGCTGAGTCCTGTCCCAAATGCTATTCCCACCTGCCCAGCAGCCTCTGCATGGGCTGGGTCTTGCTCCTCTGTGCTCATGTCAGCTCCCATGCATGTTCCCTAGCCTGTGGGAGAGGGCTTGGATGAGCTCATGTCTGAGCAGGAGGGGCCAGCTTTGGAGAATGGGAGCTCCCAGCCCCTCCTCCAGCACTGGTGGTGCTTCCAAGGCCTAGACCAGACACATAAATCAGGGTGGTCAGCTGAGAGCCTGCTGAGGCTGAGGCTGAGGCGGCAGCGGCCTCCGGGAGCACCTGCTGCTCTCCCAGCCACAGGGGCAGGGGGGAAGAGGGTCTGCGAGGTTGTAGACACTTGCCCGAGGCCCTGGGGTCTTAGAGGAGCAGCATTCTGACCTGGGCTTCTAGGTCACAGTCCAGTGATGCATGGGGAGCAGAATCCAGGCCTGATACTCAGCCCCTGGCTTGGCATGAGTCACGTCCCGGAAGCAGGCATGGGGGGTGGTCTGTTTGTCAGCCTGAGGAGTCAGTCCCGTGAGGGGAAAGAGCCTGGGCCTCAGGCTTACCAGGCTGTGTGCTCTTGGACAAGTCACTTCCCCTCTCTGGTCCTCAGTGTCCTCATCTTTAAACAGAGACAGTGGTCCCTGCCTCCCAGAGGAGGATTGGAGGAGCTAGGTATGGGTAGCCCATGGCCCAGAAGCCTCCTGGAGCCCGTCGATGTGAGCGGCCACTCCTCTCCAGTCTCCCTCAGTCCAGCTAAGGCAAAAGGAGAAGACGGTTGTAAGGCTGTGGGCGAGTCCTGTGTGGCCTTCTGAGCCTCAGTTTCCTTATCTGTGAAATGATGGTGGTGGGGCAGGGGCAAGGACTTGATGCTCACTCAGCATCGCCTGCAGTCGGTTCCAGACCGTCGGGCTGAGGAAGAGCAAGGCCGCCCTCTCTGCGCCACTCTGGCAGGACAGAGCTGGCCTTTGCTGAGCCCCCGCCACCACCTCCGTGTTCCAGGTGAGGAGCCGGAAGAGGAACCGAAGGTGAAAACCCAGTGGCCAAGGTCTGCAGATGAGCCTGGGCTATACATGGCGCAGACAGGTAACTCGGGCCCGCCTCCCTTCCTTTGTGGCGGGGGCCCGACGGTGTGGCGTCTGGTGGCATGTGTGCTTGGCGTGTGCCTGTCTGTGTCTGTGTCCTAGAGCTCAGTCACATCTCTGCCACGTGAGGCCTGTGGGCAGGGATGGGCGGGCTTGACAGGCTCTGAAGAGCCTGTCACTTGGGGTCAGGGTAGGAGGATCCCTAGGAGGCTGAGTGCTTGGGAGGTGCCCCCTGCCGCCGACGCTGTCCCTCTCTCGTAGGCGACCCGGCGGCTGAGGAGTGGTCCCCGTGGAGCGTGTGTTCTCTGACGTGTGGGCAGGGTCTGCAGGTGCGGACCCGCTCCTGCGTGTCCTCCCCCTATGGGACCCTGTGCAGCGGGCCCCTGCGGGAGACCCGGCCCTGCAACAATTCAGCCACCTGCCCAGGTATGCCCATCCTCCCGCCTGCTCTGCCTGCAGGGGTAGGTCCTGCCTGGGACTTGGGCAGGTTCATCTTCCAAAGATGGTGGGTTGCCTCCTTTTTTTATTCAGCAAACTTGACTGTCCCCCACACCATGCCCAGCCCCACACAGGGCACTGGGGACGCAGATGAATCAGACCAGGGCCCGCACCAGTGGGCTCGGTTCTGGGCCCAGCACTCCCTTGATGCCTGTGTCCCGGTAATCAAGGCTCATCTTTTTACCCCCATTGCCCTCTGTGTTCCCTACGCTCTGGCCATACCAGCGCCTCTTGCACTCTCCCATCCCCCTGCATTGGCTTATTCTTATCCTCTCCCCACCTTGGCTATTACAATTCAGCCTGCCCTTCAAGATCTAAGACAAATGACACGTCTTTTTTTTTTTTTTTTTTAAATGAAACCTTGCCTGACCATCCCCTCCCTCCTCTGATGCCCCATCCCAGTCCCCAGGGAGCCTCCTCAGTCCAGCATGGAGTACTGAGAATGTGCATGCGCCTGCCTGGGACAGGTGGTCTGCCATGGGGAGGTGGGGGGCCGCTTCAGCCAGTCCTGTTCCTTGTTCCCTGAGGGAGTGCAGCGGTGCCTAGACCATGACCAGCTCCTGGCCGTGGACTTAGAGTAGGGCTACCTGGGAAGGGGTCTTGGCACCCGGGGGTGTGGCAAGAGCTTGCAGAAGGCTGGGGCAAAGCTGTGTTCTGGAGTGTGAGCTCTCTGTGTCACTGTCCGTGTAGAGGTTCATGTCTCTTTGTGTGTCCATGCGCTTGGGGTCGGGATGGGCACTACTCTTGCCCCAGGCCTGTCATGTTGGATTCTTGCTTTGGGTCTGGGGATCGGGAGGGCTCGGGCGGATCTTGAGCCCTTTCCTGGGCTTTCCTGTGCCCCCAGGAGAGGAGGAGCCCCGGCTCCCTTACTGGGTCGGTCTTAGTCTCCCTGTCCTGGTGTCCACAGGAGGTATCCTGTGTGAGTTGGGACTAGAAGCCTGTGTTTTCCATTTCCTCCCCCCAAAGGGCGGAGTCCTGGGCCCCAGTGCAGAGCCAATGAGGAGCTGTCGCAGAGCTGCCGGAGCTCCTGATTGGTGGGCGGATGGGCAGTGGGCGGGGCCAAGGTGCCGCCCAGCCACCGGCCACGTGCTTCCTTGCAGTGCACGGCGTGTGGGAGGAATGGGGGTCCTGGAGCCTGTGCTCCCGCAGCTGCGGGCGGGGGTCCCGGAGCCGGATGCGGACCTGCGTGCCCCCCCAGCACGGCGGCAAGGCCTGCGAGGGTCCCGAGCTGCAGACTAAGCTCTGCAGTATGGCCGCCTGCCCGGGTCAGTAGCGCCCGTGGGCTTCCAGGCGGGCGCTGCCCAGCCGGGTGGGGGTCGGGAGACCCAGGGGAGGCAGTCAGGTCCAGTGCCCTGCCCTTGGGGGCCCATGAACTTGAACCAAGCATGGGGAGACTGGCGAAGCGTACCTGCCAGCGTGGGAGGTGATGTGGCCCGGCCCTGACTTGGAGTTGGCACACAGTAACCCCAACAGAAGAAGGCTGCCCCTTCCCCTGCGCCCTGTGATACCCTTGCTGTTCATTGCCCTTTGGTGCTCATGGCCAGCCTGGCTGTGAGGGGACACAAATCTGGGCTTAAGAGTGGGCAGAGATCCAGAGGTGTCCCTGGGGCCCATTTCCCTTACCAAGAGAGAGCAAGTGCCGCCTTGGTGCTGAGTGCAGAGGTATCCTGAGTTTCTGGAGCTGGTGACAGGCAGGCAGGACCAGGCCCAGGCACCACCTGCTCACTGCAGCCCCCCTTCATCCACCCCTCTCCCGTGGGTCTGGCCTCGTTCAAGTCTGAATGCCTAACAGGCTCTGCCATCTCCCTGCCCCCGCTGGTCCCCACAGCCCTTGCTCAACGGCCACCCCTGCTTGTGTCTCCCCATGCAGTGGAAGGCCAGTGGCTAGAGTGGGGTCCCTGGGGCCCGTGCTCCACATCTTGTGCCAACGGGACCCAGCAACGCAGCCGGAAGTGCAGTGTGGCGGGCCCAGCCTGGGCCACATGTACGGGGGCCCTCACAGACACCCGCGAGTGCAGCAACCTCGAGTGCCCGGGTGAGTACTCAGAGCCGGGGGGGGCAGGTGGCAGCCCGGCCCCCGGGGGACAGCTGGGGCCACTCACGCCCCCCTTCTGCAGCCGCAGATGGCAAGTGGGGGCCGTGGAACGCGTGGAGCCTGTGCTCCAAGACGTGTGACACAGGCTGGCAGCGCCGCTTCCGCATGTGCCAGGCCACGGGCGCACAGGGCTACCCCTGCGAGGGCACCGGAGAGGAGGTGAAGCCTTGCAGTGAGAAGAGGTGTCCAGGTATCGGCCACAGGACGCTAGGGGGTGGAGGGACAAGCCTGTGGGCCTAGCTGAGCCCCTCCACTGTCCCCACAGCCTTCCACGAGATGTGCAGGGACGAGTATGTGATGCTGATGACGTGGAAGAAAGCAGCTGCTGGCGAGATCATCTACAACAAGTGCCCCCCCAATGCCTCAGGTGAGCGGTGGGGTGGCTGTCCCCGAAGCCCCCACCCCCGCCTTTCCTGCTCACTCCCTTCTGCCCCCCCCCCCCGCCTGTTTGAGCCTCCGTGCTCAGGTGTGGAGTGAAGCGTGCTCAGGTGTGGAGTGAAGCGAGTAGGAGTCCGGCCCCCACACCCAACCCCGTGGCCCGTCCTGTCCCCCTGCAGGGTCTGCCAGCCGCCGCTGTCTCCTCAGTGCCCAGGGCGTGGCCTACTGGGGTCTGCCCAGCTTTGCCCGCTGCATCTCCCACGAGTACCGCTACCTGTACCTGTCCGTGAGTGCGCCCCGCTGGGCTGGGGTGGCGCAGGATCTGTCCCAGGCTCGGGTAGGGGGTGGAGGGAGCTTGGCTTCCTGCTCTTGCCCGTGTGCCTCGGCATACGTATGCTGTGCCCACCTCTGCCTGCCTGTGTCTGTCCTTGCCCCGCGCACTCCTACTCATCCCTCAGGGCCTGACTCTCGAGTGTCTTCCCTTGTTCCTGGCGCCTCCTTCTGTTGCTCCTCTGGTCCCCCGAGCCTCCCAGTCGTGAGGTGTAGTGAATGCTCATCGATATGTCTGTGTCCCGTTAGACTGGGAGCTCCTTAAAGGCAGAGGCGAAGTTGGATTTATTTCCGTGTCCGCAGTGCTCAGCCCAGGGCCTGCTGGGGATGCTAAGAATGTTGGCAGTGAATGTGGCCTGGGTGTCATGCGTGTCTGACTGTATTTGGTACTTGTGTGTTTGCACTCGGAGCTCGTGTCTGAAAGAGGGAGTGATAGTGAGGGTGCGTTACACTTCGGAGCGTGCATGACCCCTCTGGGATGGGGAGGTGCCTTGTCCCTGTACTGTGCTTGTCATCTTTTATGTACACATCTGAGCGCTTCCCTTCTCTAGCTGTTTCTATTTTGGTCTTTTTCAAGTATCTTTAGGTCTTTTTCTTGGACCCTGTCTCCTATGAGCCCCTTTGAGCAGCTCTCTCTGACCTGTTCCCCCTCTTGGATGCAAGCAGTGGGTGGACTGGAGTGGGATGGGCCCGAGGCCGGTTCCAGCTCCTGACCCCGTGGTGACAGCAGCCCACCTGTCGCCTGCAGCTTCGGGAGCACCTGGCCAAAGGGCAGCGCATGCTGGCAGGGGAGGGCATGTCCCAAGTGGTGCGCAGCCTGCAGGAGCTGCTGGCCCGGCGCACTTACTACAGTGGGGACCTGCTCTTCTCCGTGGACATTCTAAGGAATGTCACTGACACCTTCAAGAGGGCCACCTATGTGCCCTCGGCGGACGACGTGCAGGTACCGCCCTGCCCCACCAGAAGGAAGGAGGGCACCCTAGCCTGCAGTGGGGGGTTGGGCCCCTGTGGCGGAGTCTACAGAGGTGACGTGTGTGATTATATCGGGGGGAAGCCACCATCCCTGGGGATGGGACCTCCTGACACCCACGGCTCTTGCCCCCAGCGCTTCTTCCAGGTGGTGAGCTTCATGGTGGATGCAGAGAACAAGGAAAAGTGGGATGATGCTCAGCAGGTGAGGGGCTGGACTTCCAGGCCTTTTCCCCCAGGACCCACCCCTGCCTCGGACCCTTATATACTCTCTGTCTCCAGGTATCCCCTGGCTCTGTGCACCTGCTGCGTGTTGTGGAGGACTTCATTCACCTGGTGGGCGATGCCCTCAAGGCCTTCCAGAGCTCTCTGATTGTCACAGACAACCTGGGTACCGGGAGGCAGGCTAGGGAGCGGGGGCTGGATCGGGTAGAACCCAGGCCGCTGTGGGGGAGGGGTGGTTTCTGAGGGCTCTTCCTATTTTTCTGTCTCTCTGGGTCCTCTCTTTCCCTCATTTAACCCCATCTTTGTATCTCTGTCCCTGTCCCTTCCCCACCCCACCCCCCGGGGTTGTTTCTCTGTGTGCGTGTCCCCCACCCGTGTGTTCGTACCAACCTCGCTGTCTGCGTCTGCCTTCCTGGTGTGTCTGTCTTTCCCGTTTCTGTTTCTTCCCTTGTGACTCTCCCGGCCGCCTTTGTCCCTCTATCTCTGGTGCGGGTCGCAGTGATCAGCATTCAGCGCGAACCGGTCTCGGCCGTGTCCAGTGACATCACGTTCCCCATGCGTGGCCGCAGGGGCATGAAGGACTGGGTGCGGCACTCGGAGGACCGCCTCTTCCTACCCAAGGAGGTGCTCAGCCTCTCCTCCCCGGGGAAGCCAGCTGCCTCCGGCCCAGTGGGTAGCCCTGGCAGGGGGAGGGGCCCAGGAACCGTGCCCCCTGGCCCCGGCCACTCCCACCAGCGCCTCCTGCCGGCAGACCCCGAGGAGTCGTCCTCCTACTTTGTGATTGGTGCTGTGCTCTACCGCACGCTGGGCCTCATCCTGCCGCCCCCCAGGTGAGTCCCCGGGAAGGGTGGATGGGGCTGCCCGGGTGAGAGGAGGACTGAGCCCGTGCTGGCCGCGGGGAGCTCTCTCTGCAGCCTCTTGGACCTTGGGCTCTGTTGCCTGGCTAGGGACACAGGGGCTTCTCAAAGATGTCTGTGCAGCCCCTAGAGGCTTCCCGGAGACTGGGGCTGCTGGACTGAGCTCTAGACCTCACCTGAAGTCCCGGGCCCCGCTGAACTCTGGGCCTTTCCCGGGCCGTGGCTCCCTGGTAGCCCCCTGCCCCTGATCCAGAGCACCTTTGGGGTTCCTGGGTTCTGGGCACCACTGGCAGGAGCTGACCTCAGCACCTGTCCCCCAGACCCCCGCTGGCCGTCACATCCAGGGTGATGACAGTGACTGTGCGGCCCCCCACCCAGCCACCAGCTGAGCCCCTTATCACAGTGGAGCTCTCCTACATCATCAACGTGAGTGGGGACCCAGACAGTAACCCTGGGGTACCCCATTGTGGGCAGCCAAAGGCCTGTCTGATGGCCGGCTGCACCTCCGGCCTGTGTGGGGCCTGCTGCGGCAGGAGGGGTGGTGGTCCGGGGTGGTGCGCTCCCTGCCCCACGCTGCGCTCCTCGCTTCTGCTCCCCAGGGCACCACTGATCCCCACTGCGCCAGCTGGGACTACTCCAGAGCGTGAGTTGGGCTGGGGCTCTGTGTGGGGGGGGTGCAGCGCTAGCACTTCTGTCGGGGGACTGTCTCACCTGGAAGGCGAGTGGGTTCCTTGGGGCTGTCCTCGGCCTGCCAGGTCCAGGGCACATCTGGGGACTCCCAGCCACCGGGCCTCTTGGGTGTGGCCTTACCCTGGATTTCCTCCGGCACCAGGGGGTGGGGGGCCACGGAGCTGGGCTGGGTATCACTCCACCTCTTCCCTGACTCCAGAGATGCCAGCTCAGGGGACTGGGACACCGAGAGCTGCCAGACGCTAGAGACACAGGCGGCGCACACTCGCTGCCAGTGCCAGCACCTGTCCACCTTTGCTGTGCTGGCCCAGCCGCCCAAGGACCTGGTGAGTGGGAGGGAGGTGCCTGGGTTGGGGGGGGGGGGGGCGGGGGCGTGCTCCGTCCGGGGTTGCCAGGAGCCATCCGTGGTGGTGTCAGCAGGGACCCAGGTGATCCCGCACGTGCATCTGAGCGGGTGCACTTGGGGACTTGCACACAGAAGTCTGTGCCCCCGGGAGGGTGCTCACAGGGACGACATGTGCCTAGAGATGTGTGGCGGGGGGGGGGGGGACGACTGCATGCGTGTACACACACATGCGTGTCTGGTTGTGTGTAGTAAAGTGCAGGTGACCGAGCATAAATGCACGTGCATGTGTGGATGTGATAGTGAGTTCCCTCCCGTGTGTGAGTGTGGGGAAAAGTATAGGTGCCAGTTGGTGCCAGACAGGGAGTGGAGGGGGAGAAGGTACCCCTGCAGCTGCCGGGCCCGTGACCTGGTGGACCGCCTGCTCATCCTCCCTAGACCCTGGAGCTGGCAGGCTCCCCCTCGGTCCCCCTTGTGATCGGCTGTGCCGTGTCCTGCATGGCGCTGCTCACCCTCCTCGCCATCTACGCCGCGTTCTGGAGGTAGGTGGGGCGCTGGGCAGGGTGAGGCAGGGGGTGGCCAGCCAGCCCCGCTTGGGCAGGGTGGCTAGCTCCTCTGCCCGCCGTGCCCTCTCAGATTCATAAAATCCGAGCGCTCCATCATCTTGTTGAACTTCTGCCTGTCCATCCTGGCGTCCAATGTCCTGATCCTCGTGGGCCAGTCACGGGTGCTGAGCAAGGCAGGTGCAGGTCACGGGCGCCAGGGTGAGAGAGGCGTGAAAGGGCTGAGGGCGGAGAGCGTTTGCCGGGGCCGGTGCGTGTGTCTGCACGTCTGTGCCCACGTGGCGGCTGTTCGTATACACCCGAGCCCTGGGTTGGGGGAGGGCACGAGTGGGAAGGAGGGATGTGTGTGTCCCCGAGTGGTGAGTGTCTGTGTGCCTCTGGGAACACGTATGTGAGCCGAGCTCGTGTGCGCATGCGTTGGGCGGCGGGCGTTTGTGGAGCCGGGGCCTCCTTGATTCTGTGGGAGCCGGAGCAGGGCCTCTCGAGCCGCTTGCCCGTGGATGCCCTCGGCTGGCCGTGCCCTCTGCCCCGTCGGCCGGCTCTGCGGTGCCAGCACTACGAAGTTCCAGGCGTGGGGCCCGCCTGGCCGTGACGCGACAGCCGCTCCTGTCTGTGCCCCTCCCTGCCAGCCCCGTCTGTGCGTGGGTGGACTGCCCGCCCGCCTCCCGGATGTCGGGTGCTGTGTGCGTGTCACCGGGCCCGTGTCGTGCTGTGTGTGGGTGCAGAAAGGCGGGGGTGCCTGACAGGGCTTTGTGGGGGGGCGGAGCTCTGGTGGGCGGCCGGGGCAGTGCCCAGCGGCGGGTGTGGGAAGCCTGGCACCTCCCACCCTGGTGGCTGCTCAGGGCCACTCCCTCCCTGCCATCTCCCTGCAGGGTGTATGCACCATGACTGCCGCCTTCTTGCACTTCTTCTTCCTCTCCTCCTTTTGCTGGGTGCTCACGGAGGCCTGGCAGTCCTACCTGGCTGTCATCGGACGGATGCGTACCCGCCTCGTTCGCAAGCGCTTCCTCTGCCTGGGCTGGGGTGAGCAGGGCCCTTGCTGGACTCTGTCGCTGGGCCTTGGGGGCAGGAGCCGCCGGACAGGGTCAGCTTTGGCCCTGGCCCCCGCTCTCTGGGCCCGGGGTCAGCTGCGCTGGGGCTGGGAGGATGAGGGGACTCTGAGAACTCACAGCCATCTCACTGTGGCCCCCCCACTGCTCCTGCAGGTCTGCCGGCCCTGGTGGTGGCAGTGTCTGTCGGCTTTACCCGCACCAAAGGATACGGTACATCCAGCTAGTACGTGGGCCTCCCATGGTGGGCAGCAGGGGGATTAGTGGACCTGTTTGGGCATCCCACTGGGCATGGGGTCTACTCAGGCTACAGTCCTGGCCCGTGCCTGCCATGCTGTGGGCAAAATCTTCCGTGTCTCCGAGCCTCTGTTTCCCTGACTGTAAAAGGATGTGCTGGGATTGGGGATAATCTTTAAGCACCATTTAGCTCAGGGATCAGCCTTGTTCGACACCCACGGTGGGCTCAGGGCTGGGTCTTTGTTAGAGGGGAAACTGAGGCTCAGCAGGAGCCCCTGGCTCACTGTCACCCAGCTGGAGGCTCTGCCCCATTGATAGCCCAGGGGGCACTGAGCGGTGGTGTGTCTGATGCCCCCTCTTTTCCCTCCACCCCAGCTGCTGGCTCTCCCTGGAGGGCGGCCTCCTCTATGCCTTTGTGGGCCCTGCAGCTGTCATTGTCCTGGTATGTGCCCCTTTAGCGTCCTGGGAAGGGTGTGGCCGTAGGGGCTCCACCTTCTCCCTGCACTCCAGCTCCCACTTGGGGGTTTCCCTGCCAGGAGGGCACCTGGTAATCCTGTCTCTCCCCCCCTCCCCACACACACACACTGGGCCCCCAGGTGAATATGCTCATCGGGATCATCGTTTTCAACAAGCTCATGGCACGTGATGGCATCTCGGACAAGTCCAAGAAGCAGAGGGCCGGGTAAGGGGGATGTGACTTGGCCTTGTGGGAAATAGTGCAGGGAGGGAGGGCCGGGCCTCTTGGAGACTCAGGGCTTGCCGATGGGACCGGGGCTCCCTGACCCTGGTGCATCAAGGGTGCAGGCAAGGTGGGCACCTGGAGTGCTCCGCGGCAGCCCCTCGCCCACCCTAACCCACCTCTTTCTCTCTCGTCTGCCCTCCCCTCCCACCCCACTTGGGGCTCATGCTGCCCCGTCTCCTCCCGCTTCCCATGTGTCTCCCCCTCCTTCTCCCGTGTCTGTGCCGCCCCCGAGGTCGGAGCGGTGCCCCTGGGCCAGCCTGCTCCTCCCCTGCTCAGCGTGTGGAGCGGTCCCCAGCCCCCTGCTCAGCTCAGCCTCGGCCAGGAACGCCATGTTAGTTGTGCCCCCCGGGGGGGAGGGGGTGGGGGCGGGCGGGGGCAAAAGAATGGGGGGCAGTGCCCATGGTTGGGGGGAGGAGGGATATGAGCCCAGTGCCCTGGAAAGCTTGCCCTGCCCTGCCAACTGCCCCACACTCTCAAGGGCTTGGCATTGATGTGGCAAAGGGCAATGGGGAGTGAATGTCTGTGCCTCTCGGAAAATGCTGGGTTCCTGTGCCCACCCCTTGCTCCCACCCCTGCCCCCACTCCCAGCTTGTTTTATCCAGGCACAGCTGCAGAGCCCTCCTTACACCCCCCAACCTACAGAGGCTTTTAGAATCTTAGGCCCTTAGAATTTTTGAGCTCATAGAACCTTAGAATGATAGAATCTTAGAATAAAACAGTCAGAAGCTACGAATGTTAGAATGCGTGAATCATAGTCTTATCATTTGTCAAAGAATCTGAGATTTAGAATTTTAGAGGCATTGGCTCTCACAATCATTTGGGGGGGCAGAGAATCTCAGCGATTCACCACCATACCCCCCGGAAGCTAAGGATCCTAAACTCAGAGGCACGTAAGAGCAGAATGAGTGAATGAATGAATCCACAGGGTCCTTGGGCCCAGCCCAGCTTCCCACCCAGGGCCAGAAACCCATCAGAGCCTCCCTGACCAGTGGGGGTCCAGCTTTGTCTTGCACACCTCCGGGGTCAGAGAGGCTCACTGCTCCTGGAGGCAGCCGGCACCGTCTCTGGGAAGCTGTGCGTGGTAGGAAGCTCCCTCGCCCTCGGGCAGCCGTCTGCCTCCCCGACCCAGTCTCTCAGAACTAGCAGTGAAAAGCCTGGGCTTTGGAGGCGACCAGGCTGGGTCTGCATCCCAGCTCTCTCTCTCTTTCCCAGTTGGGCACACTCCAGTTTCCTCATCTGTAAATTGGGATAATAATCCCCATGCCTGTTTACTGGAGTTGTTTTGATCACAGTGTGAACTAATGTATGTAAATTGTTCAGTGTAGGGCCTGGCAGAGGATTGGTGGTTAATCAATGGCAGCTCTTATGACTGTGATTAGGCCCCTTTCTGAGTCTTGGCTGCGCCCCCGGGGGCTGTGGAGACCACTGTGCCCCCCCCCCCCCCCCGCCAGGCTGAATAGCCCCCAGCTTCTCTTCCTAGGATGGGTCTTGGCCCCCTGCCCATCTCTCTGCCTTGTCCGGAGCCGTTCCCACCCCTGCCTGACTCTCCTACTGGGGTGCTCACAAGGCAGAGTAGGCTGGGCGTGGCACCTGGCCCAGTAGGGCAAGCCTGCCTTGCTCTACCCACGTGGGCTGTGGCTGGGGAGGGCGGTATGGCTCTGGGGCCTGGATGCCAGGGCCCGTCTGCCTCTTCCCTCGGGCGTCCCGAGTCAAGGAGGTGGGGGATGCGTGGGTTTGGTCATGACCCCAGCTTTTCCGGCCAGCCCCAGCTATGCTCTTTCCGCCCAGGGCTCTGAGTGGGCCCCCCACCACCCCCAGGAGCCTGGCACCACCTCCTTGGGGACCTGAGGGGGAAGAGGCTCTGCTGCACCGGGCCTGACCCCATGCCCAAAGATGTGTGCGCTCACGCCCTCCATGCTCTCTGACTGTTGGATCTGTGTGTCGGACCGTCTCATGCTCTCTCCCTGTGTCTGCCATCTCTCCTGTCCAGCCCCGTCCCGCCTCTCCTGGAATCTCTGGGGGTGCAGCCCAGGCCTGTGATTCCACGCAGATTGGGGTTGAAACCCACAGCATCTGCATCTGCCTCCCTCGCTGTCTTCTGTCCCACGGGCTCTTTCCACCTTCCCCGTCTCCGTCCCCTGACGCCGCCTCAGGCTCAGCCCCACCGTGTTGGCCCCTCCCACCTCTCCTGGTTCCCGCTCTGGCCCCGCCGCCGCTCTCCGCTCTCTGTCCCTGTTCTCTGTCTCTCTGCCTTTGGCTCCTCGGCCTCTGTCTGCTTGGGGACATTGCTGAGGTCTTGGAGTGTGGAGCCCTAGCCAGTCTTGGGCAGCTTAAGGGCCCCAGGCCTAGTGCAGGCCTGGATTCATCCCCCCACCACCCCCCAGCCCCCTGGAGTGTCACCCTGACGGGCCCTCTGCTGCCGTCCTCAGGGCCTCACTCTGGAGCTCCTGCGTCGTGCTGCCCCTGCTGGCGCTCACCTGGATGTCGGCCGTCCTGGCCATGACGGACCGGCGCTCCGTGCTCTTCCAGGCCCTCTTTGCCGTCTTCAACTCGGCGCAGGGCTTTGTCATCACCGCCGTGCACTGCTTCCTGCGCCGAGAGGTGGGGCCGGGCTTCTCCCGCCCTCTCCCGTCCCCCTCACCTGGCAGATGGGGAGGAGCCAAGCCCCTCCCGGGGGCCCCCCCCCCCAGCTGGGTGTGGAAGCTGGCGGCCTGGGGCAGCCTTGGCCTTGGCCTTAGGGCCTCCTAGGACTCCTCCTCCCCTCTGACCTTCCCCCACGCCCGCATGCATTTCTTTCCTTCCACACCCACCTGGGTGCCTGGGGTGGGAGGCACAGCCAGCTGTGGCCAGGGGCCCTGTGGTGGCCTCAGGCCCAGCAGGCACCCGCTGCCCCCAGGTCCAGGATGTGGTGAAGTGCCAGATGGGTGTGTGCCGGGCCGATGAGAGTGAAGACTCCCCTGACTCCTGTAAGAACGGGCAGCTGCAGATCCTGGTGAGTGAGGAGGCCGAGGCAGGGTGTGGTTGGGTTCTGAGTGTGCCCCCCCCACCCCCAGTCCTCCTACCCCAGGCTTATCTTCCCATCCATGGAGGGGATGAGAGACAGGGAGGGGACAGAGCCCGGGTTTGATTCAGGCCCAGTCACTGACAGCTTGGTGGCATCGGGCAAGTCTTTTCCCCTTTCAGTGTTCCTACCTGTCGGGCGAGGCTGGACAAGACCCTGTGTGGGCCCCCCCTGGGCTCCGTCGGGCAGTGTGCCAAAGGCAGCCCCTCTGGGTGGCTGGGGAGGGGCCTGAGCCCCCTCCCCCCCACCCTGATACATGGATCCTTTCTCTGCCCATCCGCTCTGTTCCTCTCTGCCTATAGTCAGACTTTGAAAAGGATGTGGATCTGGCTTGTCAGACAGGTGAGTCTGCCTGAGAGCCGAGAATGTTCCCCAGGGGTGGGCAAGAAGGGAAAGCCTCCAGCCCGATCATGGGAGGCCCTGTTAACGGTCTGGTTGTGGGGTTTAGCTGTAGAGTCAGAAAGCCCTAACTTGGAGTCGAAGTTGTGAACACTGCTTCCTGTGTGACTTTGGGCAAACGGCTTACTTGTCTGAGCCTTAAATGAATTAGGGGACATCAAATGCCTAGCAGGATGCTTGGCATAGAGTGGCTATCACATTATTATATCATTTCCATACTTCTTACCAGAATCTCTTTCCAGTTCTGGCTCCTGGGGAGGAGCTGCTGGAGGGGTGGGGGGAAGGGAGGAACAAGGCCATTTTGACAGCCTTGGGGCTGTGGGGGTCAGAGGTCAGGACCTGCACCAGGCGCTGACCTGTGGGACCTGGCCCTTGGCTTCATCCCTTGCCCTGCCTTGCTATGGGCCTCTGGGCCGGTCTGACCCCTCTTCTTAGCCCATCTGGTGTGTGAGAGAGTGCCTCCCACCTAGCCATCTCTCCGGGACTCAGTTTCCTCTCCTTGGACTCAGTCCAAGCTCAGGGGCTTGGTACCTACCCAGCCTGGGCCAGGGCATCAGGGACTCTTCCTCCTCAGGACTTACCTCTCTCCCACTCCTGCCCTCAGTTCTGTTCAAGGAGGTCAACACTTGCAACCCATCTACCATCACGGGCACACTGTCCCGCCTGTCCCTGGACGAGGACGAGGAGCCCAAGTCCTGCCTTGTGGGTCCCGAGGGCGGCCTCAGCTTCTCACCACTGCCCGGGAATATCCTGGTGCCCATGGCGGCCTCACCAGGGCTGGGGGAGCCACCGCCCCCCCAGGAGGCCAACCCCGTGTACATGTGTGGGGAAGGCGGCCTGCGGCAGCTGGACCTCACGTGGCTTCGGCCCGAGCCGGGCTCCGAGGGGGACTACATGGTGCTGCCCCGGCGGACTCTGAGCCTGCAGCCCGGCAGCGGGGGCGGGGCTGGCGAAGAGCCCCCAAGGGCCCGGCCCGAGGGCACCCCTCGGCGGGCTGCCAAGACACTGGCCCACCCTGAAGGCTACCCCAGCTTCCTGTCTGTGGACCACTCGGGCCTGGGGCTGGGCCCTGCCTATGGGTCTCTGCAGAACCCCTACGGGATGACCTTCCAGCCGCCCCCACCGACGCCCAGTGCCCGCCAAGTATCTGAGCCGGGGGAACGCAGCCGGACCATGCCCCGTACTGTGCCGGGCTCCACCATGAAGCTGGGCTCCCTGGAGGTGAGGGGCTGTAGGGCATGGGCTGGGGGTGGGAGGCCTGCCCCCCGTGCGCCCAAGGCGATGTCTGAGTCGCAGGCGGCAGCAGTGGCGGGGGTGGGGGGGGCGGGGGGGGGCAGCCAGCAGTGCCCCGCCCCCTGCCCCGAGCGGCCCCTTTGTACGAAGTGGCTGGGAGTGTGTACACCGTGCCTTCCTTCCTCGGTGTGTGCTCCCGCCAACACAAGGGAATTCTGGCTTCTCCGAGCTCCTCAGATGGGCTGGGACTCTGTGCCCGCGTGCCTTCCTGCATGCTTCAGGGCCTCCTTTGGGGTGACTGGTTAGAACGGGTCTTCCTTGAAGGGGCCTGGTGTTGGGTTGTGAGGGAAGCTACTGGGGGCTGGGAGCCTGGGTCGCTGAGTCTGGCAGGTCTGAGTGTGGATCGGGCGCTACTGATCAGCCGTGAGATCGCGAGCATCCTCTCTCTCTGAGCCTCAGTTTCCTCATTTGGGAAGAGGGCAGCCTCTTTGTAGAGTTGTTCCTAGGATTAATTGAGTGTTAGAAAACGTCTGTCTCTGTGTGCAGCCAGTGGAAAGTTCTAGGTAATTGGAAATTGATGCTGTTAACATCCCTGAAATCCGCCTTGGGCACTGCCGCTAGGCCTCTGGTCATTGACCCTCTCTTCCCGAGAAAACACGAGCCCCTTTGTCTCACTGCCTGTGTGTTTTCTGTGGATGTCCCACCTTCTCTCCGGCCTCCTCAGAGAATCACTGGGAACAGGCAGGTGACAAGCAGTAAGCCACTGTAGAACTCCAGAACACTCTAGAACTCTGGGAGGGATGATGGAAATGCGGATAAGGGCAGGGTCAGGAGTCACAGCTCAGACGCCATCAGCTGCTCATGTTTGGCCTCCGACACCTCTCCCCATCCTCCGCACAAAGGAAATTAAGTTAGCAGCTAGAGGTTTGCAAGTTTAGTTTCTCTCCCAAAAATGCTTCTTGAACATTTGGTGCCCGCTCCTGCTGCAGATGGCAGACACAGGAAGGCAGAACAAAGGCAAAATGACAGCCGCGCCGGGGAGGGGCGCGGTCCGCGTCACGGCAGGTTTTGTTCTGTGGACACCTGCCCGGGGTTGGGCCACGGAGGAGGGGCCAGTTTGGGGCTCTGTGTGTGGGAGGTAGTAAATGTGGCGGTGTCTTGAGGGGTCAAGGATGACGTCCAGAATTCTGGTGCAGGCAACTGTGGTGGAGTGGAGGCGGAGGAGTGGGTTTGGGGCGGGGAATTCAGAGTTTTTTTAGTTGGGCACAGCTGTGTATGTGGTGCCTGTGGGCATCAGGGGACGGGAAGAGATGTCCTGCTGCCTCCAGAAGGAGAGATGTGGCCAGAACAGGGAGGGCACACACATGTGCGTGGTCAAGGGCAGGAGAAGGTCTAGGGCCAAGCGTGGAGGGCCTGGTGCTGGGGAAGCCAGGGATGGTGGGGAGAAGGGGCAGGCAGGGAGGTGGGAGGACCAGGAGGGAGTGGCGTCATGGAGGCCAGTGGTGGTGACCATGTCTGCTGGGCCCAAGACTTGGAAGATCTTAGTTGGTGGTCTTAGCCTCCTCCCTGATGTTTCCCCAGTGTAACCCAGGACAGTTGACTTTGCTCTCATGAGTGCTCCTGGTGCCAACATGCTAAGACTCTAAGGCCTCCTGCTTGAACAGCGCTGGATGCTGCATAGGTCAATGGGGCCTTGAATGTGCTCTTGGGCAAATGAGGGCCTGGAGGGGTGCAGAGGCCAGGGAGGCAAGACCTGGTTTGTCAAGGCAAGGTCAAAGGAAGGACTGGAATCCCGACTCCTTGTGTTTGCAGGGCAAATGGAAGGTTCCAAGGAGAGGGGAGCTTGTGGCTGGCAGAGGATGGGGCAGGATGGGGCGGAGGGGCAGAGTCCGGGGCACAGAGGAAGGAGGGTCTGCTCTGTGATCCCATGCAGGAATCCATGTCTCTGTGACACTTGGCACCACGGGCAGACATGTGTCTGTGGTGTGTCTGTGTGCGCGCACTCCCTGTGAGGGTCTGCCTGCAGGCTTGGGCATGTGTGGGCCTTGCAGGAGCGGCGGGAGTGTGGGCCTGTGGTGGGGTCACGCCTCAGCTCCTCCTCCCCCAGGCCTCTGCCCTGGTCCTCCAACCCCAGAGGGCTGCCCTTAAGGATTCCTGGCTCCTGGGCGCGGGCTGGCGGGGAGGTGCGAGGCAGATATTCGGTACCAGGGTTCCTGTCTCTAAAGCCCCCGCATGTGCTAAAAAACTTTCTTCTCCTTCACTGTTACCCTGGTGCTCCCTCCCAGCGAAAGAAGTTACGATATTCAGACCTGGACTTTGAGGTAAGTGGGGTGTATGTGCGCGCGCGCGCACGTGTGTGTGTTGGGGAGCATCCGTCTGTGGTGTCTGTTCCCGGAGGGTCCACTGTGTGTGTGTGTGTGTGTGTGTGTGCGCGCGCGCATGTGTGTGTTGGGGAGCATCTGTCTGTGGTGTCTGTTCCCAGAGGGTCCACTCCTAACAGGAGCCAAAGCCCCATTGCAGAGCCTGACCCAAGGCCCCGAGCCTGTGGCTTCTGTGGGGTCTTCCCACCATCCCCCCGACCTGAGCCCAAGCCCAGAGCTGGGAAGTCGAGGGAGAGCCAGGCCTTGACCTAGGGGGCCAGCAGCAGGCAGAGATGCGGGGAGCCAGGATGCTGAGTGACGGGGGTGGGCAGGGGCTGGCTCACAGTGCCACCGGTGCGGTCTGCCTCCTCTCACCCCCTGTGGCCCCCAGAAGGTGATGCACACCCGGAAGCGGCACTCGGAACTCTACCACGAGCTCAACCAGAAATTCCACACTTTTGACCGCTACCATAGCCAGTCCACAGCCAAGGTGAGGGCTCCTCCCAAGTGCTCCCTGCCCACAGCTCAGGGCCCAACCTGACAAGGGCCCCACAGAGTCGGACCCTGACCCATGGCCCCCGTTGCAGAGGGAGAAGTGGTGGAATGTGTCTTTGGGTGGGACAGCCGAACGGAGCGTGTCTAGTGTTAAGTCCCCCGCCTGGGCTGGGTCAGGGTTAGGTGGGCTCTGAGGGGCTTCTTCCCTCCCAGCCCTCCTCCCCTTCCTGGGCAACCTCACCCTGCCTCACCAAGGGCCTACCCATGGCATAAGTGACAATTCTGGGGCTGCCTGGGAAAGGGGGGCAATGCCAGGGGCTCTGACAGGATCTTGAGGAGGGTGGGCACAGAGAAGGCACAACCCCAGGGGCCTCTCAGAGCACAGGGCTCAGGAACCCAGCTCTGGAGCCGGGCGGATCTGGGTTTGAACTCTGCTCAGGTGCCTGGGTGCTGGGTAACTTTGGGCTTCTCTGGCCCTCCCTGGGCCTCCTTAGCTTGTGCTGTACAATGAGCGAGGGGGTATTGGCCTATCTGCACGGGTCCTTCCCACTGCCTCCCACAGGAGAAGCCCAGCCCTGGGGAGCATCCTGGCTTGTCCCAACAGCGGAGACACCAGAGCTGGAGCACCTTCAAGTCTATGACGTTGGGCTCGCTGCCCCCCAAGCCCCGAGAACGGCTGGGCCTGCACCGAGCAGCCGCCTGGGAGCCCACAGAGCCACCTGATGGTGACTTCCAGACAGAGGTGTGAGTGCCACACCGGACTGCCCACTGCATATAAATATATATATCTCTCTATTTTCACACTCCACTTTGGAACCACCCAGGAGCCGGCGCCCCCTCCCCTCTCCCGAGGGCTGGGCAGGGAGGCGCAGTGGACTCAGCCGGGCTGGGGGAGCCAGACACGGCATGGCCTGGGGGGCCAGGGCCCTTCCCTGTTTCTCAGAGGCCCCCCATCTTCACCCCAGCTATCTGTCCCTGTCCCGGGCTGGGGAGGGGGGAGGGAAACTTTGTCGGGAATAAACTTCACTCTGTGGATTTTGCTGCTGAACTGTTTGCTTCCCCCCGGGGGAAGGCCCAGCCCTGGGACCCCAACTTTGTTCCTCTGTCTCCATGGTTCACCCCACTGGGTCTCATCAAACCGTATAATGAGGTCAGGCCTGCCCTGACTGGGAGGGGGCACCTGGGCTCTGACTCTGTCTTGGCCCCTGACTCCCTGGATGACCTTGGGCATATCCTGTCTCCCATCCGGGCTTGGATGCGATAAGCAGATTGGGAATGTGGAATGGGACCCCTGGCAGCTGGCCTTACCCCTTGGCTATGATGGTCATGGCTGCTATTCACTGGGACTCAGAGGCCAGACTGCCTGGGCTGGAGCCAAGGCAGAGCTTAGTGACCTTGGTCTGTGTGAAATAGGGCTGGTAATAGTACCTACCTCATAGGGTTAAGAGGATGAGACATGTTAGTATGTGCAAAGCGCTTAGCGAGGACCTGGCATGGAAGACACTTCTAAAGATTTAGCTGTTATCACTTGGCACTTGGTCTCATGCTGTGCTCTGTGCTAGGAGCTTCGCACACACAACCCCTGATCCCTCAGAATAACCTGGAAGGTTTTAGGTCTGTGGATGGGAAAACGAGGCCAGAATTGGGAAGTGACTTGCTCAAGGTCGCTATCAGAGTCAGAGCTGGGATTTCAAGCCCAGGCTCGGTGGACAGTGGAGCCACCCCCCTTCATCTTTATCAGCCTCCCCTGATAGGACAGGAAGCTAGAGTTCAGTTCCCTGGGACCCGACCTTCCTGGCTGCAGGGGAGCTGCTGGGCACTGGGTGACAGTGGAGCCTCGGGGTCCAGGGCTCAGGGTGGGTGTAGAGAGGAAGGGGCCAGGCTGGCTTGGGGCCAGAGGGCTAGGGTGTGAGATTCATCCTGGGGTGTACTCCTCACACGCCCGAGTGGATGATGGCACCCGGGAAGAGGGGGTGTAGGATCGGCATGTGGAAATGTCTTGCGGTGTGTGCGGTGGTGCTCCTGTGGTCAGGCGGCATCGGGAGCGGGGGCCACAGGTGTGCCTGCTGGCCTGGTCATTCAGCAGCACGGGCACCCCTGGGCCGCTCCCCAGGGACTCAGAGAGTCTCGGGGGGTGGCTGACCCATCAGAGGGAAGGGCTAGGTGCTCTGGGGGCCTGGATAGGGGAAAAGGGGGAAGGGACTGGCTGCTGTGGCAGGGGACACAGCTAAAAGCCCCCCTGGAGGAGGGGCTGGCCACAAGGTCCAGGCTCCCCCAGTCTTCTCTGAATCCTGCCTGCTGTGGGCCTGGTCAGAGGAGCTGGAGCAGAGTCCTCAGACCTGTGCCCCTAGACCCTGGGCTTTTCCAGGCCCCCTGCATTCCTGTGAGCCTTCCAGGCCTCCCCAGCCCCCCTCGGGCAGGCCAGGCACGTACTGTGCACAGGGCTCCCTCAGGCACAACCTCATTTGAGCCTTCAAGGTAGGTACTGTGACTCCCCCATCTGACAGATAAGGAAATCAGGGCTCACAGAGGGGGCATGACTTTCCCAAACTCCCACACCTTGTAAGTGACTATACTGGGGCTTGTGGCTGTGAATGGCAGAATCTTGATCCTGGCCAGCCAGCCTGGGTAAAAGGGCACTTTGTTCACTCAGGAGTTGCAAGCTGCAGCGAGGACAGTGGTGGGCACGTGTGGCTGTCCGTAGGTGATGGGACCCAGGGTCAGAGTGCCTCCAGATGTTCTGTCCCTTAAAGCTGTGTCAGCTTCATTCTTTTAGACAAGCTTCCTCACCTCCCCGCCGCCCCAGGCCTCCTTGCAGCTCCCATCACTGGCTTTGCCCCCAGAGAGGAAGAAACTTTCTCTTAAATTCCCATCAGAAACTCCCCAAGGAAGGGCTGTGATTGGCCCAGGCAGAGGTTGGGGTGCTATGATGGGCACGATTGGCACAACAAAGCTCCTGGCCGTGACCCTGTGCCAGCGGGTCCCCCCCGCCCCTCCTGCCAAACACCACGGGTCAGTTTTCCTTGGAGCAATCACCTAGAGCCTTCTCAGTATCTTTCCTGTATTCCTGTCTCCTTTCTTCCCGGCCCTGGGCTCCGCTGGCCACCACTGGGATCTCTGGGGCTGAGCTACCATGTGCTTACTCCCCCCACCCCTTGTGGTTTCTTGCTGTGCATCTGGTTTGAGGCAGCTTAGTATTCACCTTGTTGATTCTGCTCAAGCAGCAACCACAGCTGCAGCAGAGGCTCCTGAGGCGGGAGACTCACCACGTCTGTGGTCGGGGGCAGAGTTTTCCTGGGCTGAGGCTCTGCGCCTCTCTGCCCCGTAGTCCTCACACCCCCAGGCACTGCCTTGGTGGGAAGTGTGACCTTGGACAGGCCCTATCAGCCTTGGGTTTCCTTATCTGTAGGCCTGATAGCCCTTCCATTACGGCTGATAGCGAACAACTTGTCATTTCTTTCCTGGACTTGAATTTCCCACGTCGTCGTCCTTACTCTCTCTGCCTCTTGTCTCCAGGCCTTTATCCACCTGGCCCAGCCACTGCCCTGCCCGGAAGCCTCCTAAGGATCCTAGAACTAGCCTAGAATGCAAGGGCCTTGGTGATGTGACCTTTGCCTACCTCTCCTGACCCCTCTCACCTCCGTGCGTAGGCACAGCCATTTCTCCCGCTTGGAACTCCCTCCCGCTCGCACGCACAAACCCCTTCACCCTTCCAGCTCCAGCCCAAGTGGCCCGTCTGTGAAGCCATCCCCGAACTCCCCATCTCAGCAGTCGGCACTCGCCGGGCTCCCTCAGCCCTGGCACACACTTTCACTGTCACACTGCTCGCAGAATTGGTGTCCTTCCCGTCGACCTGGTTCAGGTTTGTGTGCTCAGTCGAGGGCCCCACACGGAGTAGGCATCAGTGGATCTTTACTGAGTGAACGGAGGGAATGCACAAACCGACACTGGTTTCCTTATGTGCAGAATGGGGATATCGATAATTCTTACCCAGCCTTCCTCACGGATATTGTTCATGGGGAGCATTTTGCAGGTGACATCAACCCCTTTCCCAGTTATTCCTTCCTAGGCCTTGATACTGTCTCTACAAGGCACCAAGGGGAAGCCGCGGTGCTCTCCAGGGTGCTGAAATGGACCTGGTGCCCCGCCCCCCCCAAGAGATGAGACAGCCCCAGAGGCTCACCCAAGCTCAGCAGCAGCTTCCCTTGCCTCCCGGCCGTGGCAGGGTCATGGGTGAGCCGACCAGCCCTACCGTTGTAAGACCAGACCCTGGGAGAATGTCCAACAAAAAAATGGAAAACTACATATGTAATTGTAAATTTCAAATTCTCTAGTAGCCATTTTTAAAAAGAGAAAGGTGAGATTATTTATTTATTTATTTATTTATAATAAGATTCTTTACCTATTTGTCAGAAAGAGAGAGAGCACCAGCAGGGAGAGCGTCGGGCAGAAGGACAAGCAGGCTCCCCGCTGAGCAGGGAGCCCGATGCAGGACTCGATCCCAGGACCCTGGGATCACGACCTGAGCCGAAGGCAGATGCTTAACCGACTGAGTCATCCAGGCATCCCAAGATTTTTTTTAAAATAATATATTTAGCCCAATATGTCAAAAACATCATTTCAACACATGATCCGTAAATTACAAATGAGGTACTTTATGTTCTTTCTCATACTAAGTCTGTGAAATCTAGTGTTTGTTTTACATGGACAGCACATCTCAATTCAGCATGGCGACATTCTGAGTGCTCAGTAACCATGTGTAGCTAGTGGCTACCATACTGGACGGCACGGCTCTAGACAGAATAAAGGCAGTGACCTTGGACAAGTCAGTTCAGTGTCACCTGTGGAAAGGAGGTTGCAAGTACTACTTCCTCACTGGGTTGTGGTGAGGGTTCAAGAAGGTGACGCAGGGAAAATTCCCAGTACAGTGCCAGCATGAAGTAGGTCCTAAGTCAGTGTTCCTGGAATCTAGGTATTCGGGGGATACAGGTGGACAGGGAGGGGGTGTCCCAAGGAGACCGTCCCCCCACCCCACAGTCTGTCTGCCTTCTACCTGCAGCCCCAGACCCTGGGAGAAGGGAGGCAGGTTAGGACTGGCACTTGAACAGACACATTAAAACTCAATAGGGTTTAATTCACTTCCATTAGGCACCAGTTACAAGGAAATTAGGTGACCAAGGAGGCCTGAGGGAGACCCTGGGTGCAGGATGTTGCCAACTTCTGCCTCTCTGGACTTCTTTCCCTCAAGGCTTCTTGCCTACCCTGGCAATTTATGGGGTCCCACAGTTGCGGCTTTTTAGGGCCATCCCTAGCACCCCCTATTATTCCTCCCTGTACTTCTCCAAGGCCACCAACCCCAGGAAGACCCCTACCCTCTCAGGCCCTCAACATACATCCTAAGTGTCCAGGGCAGAGGAGCCTCCCATAAGGGCTTTGGCATGCAGGCTAGTAGGAAGTCAAGAAGGGTGTTGAGTCGGACACTGGCAGGATCAGATCTATATATTAACAGGGTTGCTCTGAGTGAATGGGGAATGGATGGGGTGGGTAATTAGTGAAGAGTAAGGATGGATGCAGAGACCAGTGAGGAGACCATCCATGAAGGGAAGTTTCAGTGGAGGGGGCATGGAATTGATATGTATGTAGTGAGTGCGGTTCTCAGCCCCTGATATGGACAGTATGGGAAGGAGCCAAGGATGACTCATGGGCTTCTATCTTACGCACTTCGATGGACAACTGTGCCATTAGATTTGGAGCACCAGAAGAGAACCAGCTTTGGGGGAGACACCTTATGACTTTGGCCTTGAGCGTGTTAACCTGGAAATACCTTGGAGATGGTCAAAGGGGAATTTCAAGTAGGAAGCAGGTGGTTAGACACACAGGAGTGGAACACAAAGAGCTGGACTAGGGTCTTGGGTATGGCAGGAGGCCGTATCGAAGTGGCCGTAGAGTAAGGGAGGTGAAGAAATGAAGACCGGATAGACAACTCTTGAACTGGGGCTGTGAAAAGGGA